CAATAACTTCAACTATACGTAATTGCACCATTAGATTTGTATGTTGAAATGATCATTGGCTATCAGTATATGAGTTAAATCCTAATTTTTATTACTCGTGGGATTTTTTGGAAAATAATTTTATATCTAAAATAAATTAAGAAATGAGTAGTTTAGGATTAGTCCTGCTATCAATATTGGTCCATCAAATAAATAACAAAAGTTTTTAGATTACAATCATTATATATTGCTCCACTGATGGCTTGACTAGTTGTTCCTGCCCAAATTTTCTCAGAATAAACCACACAACAACAAGAAGATAGAAGAGAGAATAACTCACGTGAAAGTTTCTAAGGATAATTCTCTTTTAACAAAGAGAGAACAACAACCCGATAGAAAATCCAAACATGATGTCTCACTTATACACGGATGCATTAGACAACTACAAGCAGACTAATAAGAGAAAAATGTGAAAAGTATAGGCTAGCTGAAAGTCCATATTTAACTTCAAAGATAAAGACATTACTTGATAAGCAATAATAACTTCAACCATACGATACTTCACTATCCGATTAGTACGTTGGAAAGACTATTGTTATATGAGTTAAATCCTTATTTTTGTTATTAGTTATGAGATTTATTAGAAAGTAATTTTATATCTAAAATAAATTTATAAAAATGAGTAGTTCAGGATTAGTCCTAGTATCAATATTGGTCTATAAACTAAAACATAAGATTTTATAGAACAATCCTGCTATATTACTCTACTAATGGCTTGACTGGTTGTTCCTTGTCCAAATTCTAAGAATAAATTACACTGTAACAAGAAAATAGAAGCGAGAGTGGCTCATGTGGAAGTCTCTAAGGATAATTTCTCTTCGAACGAGGAGATAACAGCAACCCATGGAAAATTCAAACATAATATCTCACTTGTACGTAGACACTTTAGGTGACTATAAGCATAGATTAATAAGAGAAAATGTGAAAAGTATAGGCTAGCTAAAATTTCATATTTAACTTCAAAGATAAAGACATTACATGACAAGCCAATAATAACTTCAATTATACAATACTGCACCGTCCGATTAGTATATTAAAATGACAATTGTTTGGCTGTTAGTATACGAGTTAAATCCTGATTTTTATTATTAATTATGAGATTTTGTTAAAAAAAATAATTTTATATCTAAAATAAATTTAAAAATGAGTGGTTCAATATTTGTCATGCTATCAACATTGGTCCATAAACTTAATTTTATATCTAAATTAAGAAATGGATAGTTCAATTAGTCTTGTTATCAATATTGGTTCGTAAACTAAATAATATAAGTTTTTAGATTGCAATCATATCTTACGTTATCGATGGCTTGACTAGTTGTTTCCTATCCAAATCTAAAGAATAATCCATAACATAATATGAAGATAGAAGTGAAAACGATTGACATGAAAATCTCTAAGAATAATTTTTCTTCTAACGAGAAGATAATAACAAACAAATCCAAACATAATATCTCACGTGTATATGGATGCTTTAGATGACTATAAGCGAATGAGAGAAAAATTAGGAAAGAATACACCAGCTAGAAATCTATATTTAACTTCAATGATACAGATATTACTTGACAAGTCAATAATAACTTTAATCATACGATACTGTACTATCGTATTAGTACTTTGAAATGAAGTCAAATGCCAAATTTTTCACTAGTTGTGAAGGATACAGCACAATTGTAAGGACTAGATTTTTCAGAATGGGCCAACGTATCATATCGTTGTTCGTGCCCGATGGAACAGCTTCCATAAGTCCAAACAGATAGCAATACCCTTTACTATTCTAGTCAAGTAGTCAAGTCTGATCAGTAGTGAAGTTCTAATTATTGCTCTGAAACAAATACTCGGAAGACAACATTTATATTTTTATTCCCCTTTTTTCCCATTTATATTGTTAGATATTACTTAAACAAGAAGGATTGGGTCTTCGGAAAAAAATATATTTTTTAAAATTTTAATTTTACTTATGTGATTTTATTATTTTACTCTAAAATTGATTTATTTTTTTCCTAAATTATCCGAGGCGTTGTGCTTGCAAATTACTAATCTAAATATTGGTAAGTTCTATATATCTTAGGGCTCAACTCAAGTTCTTAAGTCAAAAAGCATGTTTTGCGTCCTACTTGAAATTTCCACAAGCACAATAAATTGTTTCCAAGGGAAGACAGATAACAGATAACGCAAGTTAACATCACAACATATTCTACCGTAGGATTTAGTGCAAAGACTTGGAAGTCAAAGTCCATTTTTGTTTGGAGATGTGATAGTCATGGCATTAATCTTTCTCCTGTTTGAACTGGCATGTCAGATAAAATTAAGAAATCAATTATAATATTTGCAAGAATGGAGACTTTTCTCCTTTTTTTATCCTTATATATGTTACCACCATATACAAACTCTAAAGAGGGAATGGTTGTGAAGCAGGTGTCATGATAACTTGAATTGATTCTCACCCTGTCATCTTGAAATCATGCTCCATTCTCGTTCCACCTATTTATTCGCATTCCATTGTAGGTGCTGTTGCACGTTGTACCTAATTCTGTTCTCTTTTCCTGGAATTCACAAATGCCTGTCGGATGTGAATCCGAAGGCAAACTTGAAACCGAATAAAGAACCGATTGTTCTTTTGAAAGATCATAGGATGCAGCAATTGGATGTCATCCGCCATATTATCAGGTGAGAAACGCACTGTGAATGGTTTAATTTCCAGGTGGGTTATACTCAATCTATCCCAATCAAGCTATTGGCGTCGATGATGGTTTGTATTCACTTTATCCTTGAAAGATATGCAAGCGATGCATCAAACTTCATTTGTCTCAATCACATAGTGTAAAAGGTGAGGCCATATGACCACGACAAGGCCGGTTTTACACCAATACTTCGTCCGTGCCACCAACGAAGGAAGACCGCCTTCTCATTGAACCAAATTTATGGCTTATAAGGGTGTTGTTGACTTTGAGTCAAGCACAAGCTCAGGTCGATACCCAGAAGCCTTCTAAAGTCAGTTGTTTATGCGTGATTAACAATTCGATAATGGTCATAATGTACACGTTTAGATTACGCAACACTTAGTCAGTATAGTTGTTCAGCAACCATACATATAATTCGAAGTAGACATATTTGCATGCAGTAGCGGGTTGTTCATTTTATTTTCTTTTTCACCGTAGCATCGAGATCGACCCGGATATTGTTTTTGTACGATGGACAATGGAATTAGATTTCCCGAGCCTTTGGAAGTGGGAATGATTACTCCCAACTTTGTCGTTTGGAGAAAAAAAGATGTATTGCATCATAATTGGTGGCCGATGGAACACCTCTGACGAGTTCAAAGAGGTAGTAAGCAGTACACACTACAAGTCTAGTCAACTTTGTTGATTGGCTTGCCATCTCCATCTACAAGCGTGGTTAATTATAGCTCCAGCAATTGTTTCGAGCACATCAGCTATATAAACGACCTAACTCCCTATTGCAGGTGTCCTTCAAGATAGAGCAACAACCAGAGACGCGAAGGTGAGTGGAATTTGCACTCCCATTACTCCGGTCTTCTTCACAAGCTTGACATTTTATTTCTTTGCTGCGCTTCGTGGTTTTCCTTAATTACATCGATGCAAAACGGATGCATATGATCAAATAAATTCGATTCTTGTGCTACAGATCCTCCATATCTTGGGCTATAGCTAGAAATATGCAGACAACCTCAGTGGTGTCATGTTTGGCAATTTTGCTACTGTTAATTATCATACATAGCTTCTCCTGTGACTGGGTTTATGGTGCTACCATAGAGTGTTTTATGTATTGTCCATGTCGCCGATTCAAGTTACTCTCTGACCTGCAGGAATCCCGCTTTAGTTCAGCCGAGACAGCTGGAAGAGGGAAAGGTTAGTCTGAGAGAGAGAGAAGGGATGGGGTGGGTGGAGCTGTTGCTGCTGCTGCTGCTGACATTGAGTTCAATGGGTTTAACAAATGTAGAAAGCGCGTCGACAAAGAAGCCTTTCACTTTACCTTCCAATTGCACAAAAAAATGTGGTAATATCAATATTGAGTACCCTTTCGGGATAGGCAAAGATTGCTATCGTTGGGGATTTAATCTTACTTGCACGAACCATACCGACCAACCTCCAAGGCTCTCCTTGGGCGATGGAATCCTCGAGGTCACTAGAATCGATTTAGATACTGGGACTGTGCGCGTCAAGACACCCATTGTCACCATGGGTGTGGATCGGGAGTCCATTAATGTTACGTTAATTGATCTTCAGAATTGGTCTTACTCTTTCACATCATCAGAACAGAAAATACATAACACCTATTTTGGTCCTACAAATAATATATTGCAAGTGTCTGGTTGCAACGCCATAGCCTTTTTAGTGGATCCCATTACTAATGAGGCTTTTGATACTTGCACAACTATATGCACTCCCAGTGGCAACACGTATTGCACAATTGACATATATAATTGGAACAGGACTTCTTTGGGGATTCAAGTAACTCGACTCAATCAGACTGAGTTTCATCTTGCTAGTAGCTCCAGCATCAAAATCTTTCTTTATGATGCAAGCAATATTACTGAGGATGATCTCGCAAAAATAGCGAAGGGAAAAAGCACAGAAACGGAGGTCGCCCTATTATGGTACATCAAAGACCATACTACCTGTGAAGAGGCTAAGAATATGACAAACTATGCTTGCATCAGTCCCAATAGTGACTGCAACGACATCGTTGATTATGCCTACACGAATTATACTTTAGGGTACTTTTGTCGATGTTCTCTCAATTATCAGGGCAATCCATACCTACCCGATGGCTGTCAAGGTAATATTCCCCTAATCTCTCCTGGTTGTGAGTTCGTTTAGATAAGCATGACCTGCAAAAAGCGATGGATATTATTATAGACATGCTAATTTTCTTCGTTATGGTTTATTAATGGCAAATTTTTTCAGTCAAACAATAGAGTCTACTTCATATAATTTCTTCAACCCCATGCTCATTAGATATTTAAATGGTACAACATACATTGGATCTGGTTTTGTTGGCAGCGTAGCAGTTCTAACCTTCATACCTTCGCCATTTGCCACAAGAACACAAGAAAATGGTATGGTTGTCATGGCCACAATCCTGCAGCTTCGAGCTCTCATGATCGCCACTCACTCGTTTTCAATACTTGGCTTACAATTAATTATGCATCTTTAAATGTATGGTTCACCTTCATGTCGGTAGATGCTGACTTTTAAGATATGAATAAAATTATAGAGTCCGTTTTGACCAATCCGAAAAAGAAAAAGAAAAACATGGTGAGTTTATGGTAATTTTTGCCGCTGACCTGTTTGTTCATATCAACAGAAATATCTTCTACTTTTGCTCCGGACAGAGACTGTCAAACAAAATGTGGGCGTATTAGCATCTCTTTTCCATTCGGGCTAAAAGAGCGTTGTTACAGAAGCCAGGAATTTGCTCTTACATGCAACAAGACATCCAATCCTCCCACTCTCCTCTTCCGGGACTATTACATAGTGCACAATATCTCGTTGGAGGAAGGACACCTGGTAGCCAGTGCACCGAACAGAACACCAACCAGTTTTTATTACCGTTCTTACATTGGTTACGACAGCTACTATTTTTCGTATGAAACTGAACCTTTCACTCGACTTGAACAGCTGTCGACCTTTAGTTGGGTAATTGAGTCTCAGCATTGCGTGGAAGCCAGAAAGAACGAGACCACATTCGCATGTGTCGACGAAAACAGTTTCTGTCTGAACATTACCGAAACTTCTACCGAAGATATACGGGGATATCGTTGCAAATGTGATAAAGGTTTTCGAGGAAATCCATATATTGCCGATGGATGTAAAGGTACTCAAAAGCCATATCCTCTCTCTCTCTCTTGCATACAACAGAACCACTTCTCAAAATGTTGAAAAGCAAAACACACATGAAACATTAACCTTCCAAAGTTTTCTTTCTCATAAGTACAATGATTAATATTATTATTTGCATAATTCCCTAAATATCCTCGTCGAACATTGCATATACCGGTCCTTAAGCTATTTTAACTGTGTGTTCTCGTAACATACTAGAATTAATACATGTAAGATGGTGTCAACTAAGTTTAAATACTAGAATTAACACCACTACGCAAGATTTTAAGGACGATCGCACCTTCCAGAGCCTGTCAAGTTTACACTCTTTGTTCTTCTATTTGATAAAAGGACTCTTGAAATGCCCAGAATCTTTTTCCTCCTACAGAAAGTAAACATTAATTAGGAATTAATACCTTTTATCAATGTTGATGTCAAAAATGGAAACTAAATTGTCACTGTGCACGTCTTTTTTTGTACCTCACATATTTTGTTAATATATTCTGATTCTTAAAAAAAACAAATTGTCAATGTGCACCTCATAAAAGTTTGTTATGTAATAAACTATGTGACTAAACCTTTGCTGCTAATCATTTTTTTATTTCTGACACAATATATATTGCAATTTGGGTTATGAAGTTAACGTGATATAATACTACTAATTTTTTTGATGGTTTCTTAGATATTGACGAGTGCACCGGTCCCAACAATTACGTTTGCAATGGGACATGCATAAATACGAATGGTGGTTTTGAGTGCCTTCCTGACAAAAAACGGACTGTTTTGTTAGGTAAGTTCTCGAAACTTATTTGCTTACAGAAATGAAAAATGAATATTACCATGGTTAACATAAATAAAAAAAGTGTTTAAATATTAAAGTACATAATCTACAGTGTGAGAACAAAAACGAAAGACTTGTGAAGCTAAAACTTGAGTGGTATTGTGCAGGTGTCATCATTGGTGTAAGTACTGGCAGTGGCTTATTGCTCTTAAGCACAAGTTTTATCATTCTAAGAAGGAAATGGAAGAAACGAAAGCAAAAGAAAATAAGAGAAAGACACTTCCACCAAAATCATGGACTACTATTACAACAGCTAATCTCTTCTAACGAAGACGTTGATGAGAGAACAAAGATATTTTCTCTAGAAGAGATAGAAAAGGCAACCAACAATTTTGATGAAACTCGAGTACTCGGTCGTGGAGGACATGGCACAGTTTATAAAGGGATTTTATCAGATCAACGCGTAGTCGCCATAAAGAAGTCCAAAATAGTAAGGAAGAGTGAGATAGATCAATTCATCAATGAGGTTGCAATTCTTTCTCAAATTAATCATAGAAACATCGTCAGACTTTTTGGATGCTGTTTAGAAACAGAAGTCCCCTTGTTAGTCTATGAATTCATCTCCAACGGGACCCTTGCAGACCACCTCCATGTTTCAAATGGTAATTCTACATTATCATGGGAAGTTCGTCTGAGGATCGCTACTGAAACTGCTAGCGCACTTGCCTATCTACACTCGGCTGCTTCAGTATCAATTTTACATAGAGATGTTAAGTCATCAAATATTCTTTTGGATGATCATTTCAGGGCAAAAGTATCGGATTTTGGAGCCTCAAGATTTATCCCGCTTGATGAAACTCATATAATTACTGTTATCCAAGGTACCTTTGGATACTTGGATCCAGAATATTACCAGACTAGTCAATTGACGGAGAAAAGTGATGTTTATAGCTTTGGGGTTATTCTTCTGGAGCTTCTGACGGGAAAGAAACCTGTTTTCTCCATCGAGCATGAGAATAGGCAAAACCTATCTATGTATTTTCTTCAAGCAATAAGAGAGAAGCATTCTTTTGATCTCGTGGAAGAACGTATCATGAAAGAAGGAACTAAACAAGAGCTTCTAG